AAAAAAAAAAAGTCATTAAGCATAATGTCCCATTATCTAGTGAGAAAGAAATTCCTAGAATGTACCACCATATATGTCAAAATCAGGCAACTGCAAAAGATGTGACCTCAAAAAGGTAGTAATAAAAAGAATTTGGAAACAAAAAATAAAAATCACTCAAAACATCATCATTATCTTTAACATGTCAAAAACCATTTTATTCCAGCTTTCACATGCATCTTTATCACTAATATCACCTAAGCCACCTTTTCATGATGCAGTATAGTACTCCAGAGTATGTCAGCCTTACTTATAACCAACCACTTTTGTGGTTTGAGAAACAGCACTTTTAATCCCATATGAACGAACAGCAGTCTGAAAATTTTATCCGAACTCCAAGTACTCATTTACATAACACTGGGATAGTACTTATCTTCATTTATCCTACACATATTTATTTGTGATTACCACAACATAGCTACTTACGCTCGTCAGGTCATCATTATAAGGCTTGTTCAAATTTTTCATACTCCTACGAATAATTATTAAATGTATTTAATTACTTTAACTTTTTTTTAAGCCAAATCAGGTAACCTCAATAAGCATATAAAACTGGCACTGATTAAGGGTTTTTCATACATGTATCTCATCCAAGCAGTATGTTATTCAAAGTAAAGTAGTTCTCAACAAAATGAGAAGATAAGCCATAGACTGGGAGAAAATATTTGCAAAATGCATATCTGAAAAAGGACTATTACCCAAAATATACAAAGAACTCTTAAAGCTCAACAATAAGAAAACCTGATTTGAAAAATGGGCCAAAGATCTGAGCAAACACCTCACCAAAGAAGATATATAGATAACAAGTAAGGATAAGAAATGATACTCTACAGCATATGTCATCAAGGAAATGAAATTTAAAACGAGGTACACTACACACCTATGAGAATGGCCAAAAATCCAAAACACTGACAACACCAAACACTGGCAAGGATGTAGACTCAAGAGCAACTCTCACTCATTGCTGATGGGAACNAAAAACAGCACCAATTCAGGGCTTAACCATCTTTGTGGAGGGTGAGAACTAATTAGTTGCATGATTATAAGACGCTTCAAATTCTTCAGATCTTAAAAAAGCCTCCCAAAATCAATAACATATGCTGTTCCCTGATACGGCACCTTGAACTTTTGCCTATAGGGCGAGAAAGAATATGGGTGCACCAGTGTAAACACATCATTTACCTACGTCTGTGTAAAAGACCTGCAAATAGCAGATGTCTGACAAAAAAAGTCTATCCGGGGGTACTTTATAATATATAAGACAGTATTATAAAGAACAGAATCTCTGCTCCCCCTGCTCCATTTCATCCCAATCCAGAAATTTAAAATCATTATTAACCTACTCTTCAACAATCTTTTCTGCTCTTTGTTTAACGCCTCTCTCTTTTTCTTCTCCCCTGTAAGCTCCTGTGTTATTTATTTACGGATCTCAGCACTTAGCACTCTGGCATAGAGATGCACAATAACCATCTGTTGAACGAATAGCAAACATGATAAAAGTTCTTTTGTTCTAGTATTTTCTGCAGTGATACACTGCACTCATATAAGACATTCTGACATATAAAGTACATTGATATGAATGAGGTCTTCAAATAAATTCTCTTCCATAGTTCTATTCAGCTTTAACAGGTGAGTTTTATAATAAATAAAAGGTCACTTTGTTATTAGCATCCATGGTCCGCACAGTTTATCAATAAACAGAACACAGACTCATTTAGACTGACTAGCTTTCCTTACACTATCCCATTGCTACATTTACCTGTACTCATCATTCTGTTTTACGTTTTGAAGTGTTGGAAAAATCTTCTAGAACTTTCCCCATCAAGCAGAGATCCCAAGTAGTCCCATATGAGACAATTAGGTCCCTGTCTTACCAGCATTCATATCTTTAAACTTCTGCTTTAGTTCAGTAGGAGTTAAACGATACTGATCAAGACCATCATTCCAATAAATTCGGTCCAAGACTTGAAGATCTCCTCCAATCAGCCAATCACCTTGTTCCATAACCATCTAATGGGAAGAAAACGAAAACAATTGTTTTTGGTTTATTAAGTTAGGGGGGTGACATTGGTTAGTACCATTATATAAGTTTCAAGTGTACAACACGAAAATGATTGTTTTAAACAGGAAACGAGCAAAATAAGTAAGAAGCGTTCTCTCATACAAGCTAAATACAGTTGTAAACTACTACACTCATCTCAAGGTCAATGGCAAATCTGTTTGGCTTATCAACTCAACTGGGATTGGAGGTCCTACAGAATTAGAATATAGTTTATAATTTCTCAAAGGATTTGTGAACAACTATTACAATTACATACGAAAGGCAAACAAAACCAACATGAAGAGTTATGACTTTGTAAGTAACAAAAATATTCTTTTCATCATTGTTGTGTTATTAATAGAAATCTATAACCCTGGGTCACCCCACCTTCTATGTTCTCAAATCCTAAACATTTGAGCAATTAAATTAATGACGGAGTTAGACACAGAGTCATACCTTCCAATCTCCACTCAACCTCAGACTGCT